TGCAGACCTGCGTCATGTGCACGCTCTGGCTGCTGCTCCCTGCCCCAGTCAGCGTCTGGGCCCTGATGTCCATGGCCTGCAGCCCGGGCCGCTGCTGGAGCCAGAGCAGGAGGGAGTGGGCGCTCTGCCGGGTGCGGGTGAAGACAATGCCCCGGGGGCTGCCGGGGCCCCCAAGCTGTGCCTGCAGGATCTGCTCCAGCATGTCCAGTTTGGGGTTCTCGGGCCCGTGCGTCGCCAAGCGGGCCAGCTCGTCCTTGTGGTCTGCGAGAGCCCAGAGACCTTTATACTGAGCTGTATCCACAGCCCTTCTTGAAAGATTCTGTTTTGAAACCAGGTTTTCTTGAAGTGGCTAAGCTGGCCAGGCTGGGTTTGAATTTGCAATCCTCCCACCTCAGCCTCTGGGAGTGCTGGGATCACAGGTGTGTGACATCATGACTAGCACCTCCTTTTTGGATTATTTTGGGGCGGGGGCGGGGTCTCACTATGTAGCCCAGGCTGGCCTTGAACTCATCACAGTCCTCCTGCCTCAGCCTTTTAAGTGGTGGGATTACAGGTGTGTGTCATGACGCACAGCCCCATTTCTGGATCTTTAAGGACCATCCCAATTAAACAGTTTAAAAAACTTCTGTGTGGGCTGGGGATTTAGCTCAGTGGCACTACACCTGCCTCTCAAGCACGAGGTCCTGAGTTCGATCCCTAGTAGCCCCCAATTCGTATTCACAACTGTGCTTCACAAACGAGGAAATGAACTTGTCACATCCACAGCTGCTACGGGTTAGGAAAAAAGGGTCTTTCCCATGGGCCCTTCGCAGACTTCTCACCATCAAACAGGGCCAGCAGCCAGCGCTCGGTGTGCAGGACCTGGGTTTTGGTGGTGCGCTCCCAGTCATAGAAGTCCCGCAGGGAGGCCAGGGCGTCCACAGCGCGCACAGCGTCGTGAATGAGCAGCGCATCGTTGTAGCGGCGCAGGTGAAGCGCGAGCACTCGCCGCGGCTGGAGCCCCGCCTCCGTGGCTGTGGGTGGGGCCAGAGCCTGGGTGGGGCGTCTGAGGCTCCGCCCACAGGCAGCTCCTCCCTCGGCTCCACCCCTGAGCGACCAAGTCCCGCCCCCTGAGGGCCAGGCCCCGCCCCTCACACCTGTCTGGCACAGCTCCACCACGTGCTGTTCATACATCTGCGTCCCAAAGTCTTGGCTCAAAACCCGCCCCCTGAGGGCCAGGCCCCGCCCCTCACACCTGTCTGGCACAGCTCCACCACGTGCTGTTCATACATCTGCGTCCCAAAGTCTTGGCTCAAATCTGGCATCTCCAAGCGGTCGTGGATCTGAGCCATAAGCTTCTTTATCAAGTCCCCAAATGGGTCCTGGGCGACAGAAGAGCGGGTGAGAGAGACCTCGCTAGTGGAGCGGCGGGTCCGCACCGACTCCTGGTCTAGCCCCTCGTGCCTCGTTCATACAGGACACCGGCCAGTGCCCCTTCTGAAGGACATCCAGCAGTGTCCCTGCTCGCGCTGGGCAGCCGTGAGCTGACCTGTGCCCCTGGTGCAGAAAGGAGACGCAGGCCCAGGACACAAGTGGGGACCTGGAGTGAAGCCAGCGAGGTGCAGGCGGCGCAGCTCCCACCCTGCCTGCAGCCCGGCCCGCACACCTGGCTGCGCCTCTGGCACAGGTGATACTTCTTGCAGGGCTGGGGACGGTGCTCCAGCAGCTGGGAGCGGTAGGTCTCAGGCGACATGATACACCACGTGTCCAGGTTGGCACAGAGCTGCGGACCACAGGGAGGGCTTCGCTGGGACGGGAGGGGTCTGGGGCCATCGGGGAGGACTGTGAGGTGGGTGGGTCCCAGCAGAGGACAGCAGAGACACTGGGCAGGGGTAGGGGCGGGGGCAGCTGACTGAGCAGACCCTGTTTCAAAATAGAAAGGGCTGAGGATGTAGCTCAGCAGAAATAAGTCAAGTGGGTGAGAGTCCAGCATGCTCAAAACAGAGCAGGGGAGCAAGGGGCCAGTGCAGAAGTGAGGCTGGTGAGCTCCTTCCGAGGGCAGCGGGGCTGGGCAGGGGGGGCAGAGTGAGGACGTCAGGGGAGGGCGGGGCAGCAGCAGGACCAGGGCCCGGCATACCTGCAGGATGTGCTCGATGGCGCCCTCTAGCTTGGCGTGCCCGCCAGTGCCCGGGGAGGCCGTGAGACCCAGCACCTGGGGCAGGGGCTGCTGCCTGTGCATTTTGAGCTCCAGGTAACGGCTGAGAATGGCATTGTAGACGGTGTCCTTGTGTGTGTGGTGACATTCATCCACCACGATGAGGGAGAAGGCTACGGCCACAGGGAGAGGCTGCGGTCTGCATCTTGTGTGGGGCCTTCCTCCCCTTGGCTCTGCTTCCCGTGTGGGACCCACCCCAGGCCTCCACCACCCTGGAAAAGCGGCCGGGTGGGACAGCTTGGGGCCAATGTACAGAGGAGTACGAAGGCTCGTTTGGGGAGGGCCCTGCCCTAAACACCGTGGCTGCAGCAGGCCCAGGTGTGCGCCCTCACTGCCCACAGCCTCACCTGTAAGCTCTGTGTGTTCTTCCTCCTCCGTGCTGCTCAGCGCCGTCTGTAGCAGCTCAGCTGTGCAGATGAGCAGGTCGTGGCTCCGGGCCACATGGCCGAAGCCGGCCCGCACTCCCATGTCCCCACTCAGGGTGGCCACGGCCCAGCGTCCACCCAGCATGAGGCCGAATTCCTCGGCGTGCTGCGTCACCAGGTGCACCTGCAGGTGCAGACGAGGTGGGGAGAGGACGCTGAACCAGGGGCCGGGGCCAGGGAGGGGGAGCAGACCCCACAACCTGGCAGGTCCTGGACCCGGGCAAAGGCGGTGAGCGTCAGGGCCATGGCAGCTGTGGCATCCCCGAGGGGACCAAGGTGCCCGGGGTCTGCGCCACTCACCCTGTTGACCAGCACCACCACCTTAGCTCTGTCCACCGTCTCCAGGTGCCTCTTGGCCACGTAGGCGGCCGCCCGGGTCTTTCCAGCGCCTGTGGGCAGCCAGATGATGATGTTCCTCCCTTCCAGGGCGGGCATGATCACCTCCCACTGGTAGGGCCGCAGCTCCATGCTGAACCGCAGGGTGCGCAGACCCCCGGTCCAGCCCCTGCCCCCTGTGGCAGAGACCTCCCTCGGCCGCTGGCGGGAATCCCTGGAACCTGAGGACTGAACTGGGGTAGAAGCAACAGGGCTCGGCAGACCGGCAGACCGGCAGGGGCACTGGAAGGCCCAACCAGCCAGTCCAGCAGCCGGTGCTGGGAAAAGGAAAGTGAAACCAAGGGGAGGGGCGACAGCTGGGCGTTCGGCTCCGCC